TTGTTACTAGAAGCGATGCACTTGTTACTAGTAGCTTCTTGTTTCTACTAGCTTCTTTGCTACTAGTAGTAAGGCCAGGAGCCCCTAGTAGCTTCTTTGCTCCTAGTAGCGATGCCCTTTGCTCCTAGTAGCATCCTTGTTCCTTACATCATTTTGACCAATTTTGGACCATCCATTTCACTAGAGATGCTGAAATCAGCAGCTTTAAGCAACAGGAGCGGCGAGAAGCCAGCACATATGGAGAGCTCTATTCCATTTTGGCAGCTGTCTCAGAAAGGTTCGGTTTACTCGATGGCCTCCACCCTTGTAGCGATGGCCTCCAGCCGCTAAAATAAGACTTTGGGGAAACATCAGGTCGCCACGGAACACCTTGAAGCAGCCTTTGTGCGTGGCAGCGTTTCCAACGAGGTAGGCAATGTCATTTCCTTAAGCAGCTTGATGCATTTGCACGCTTTCACCCCTAGACTCTAGACTTTCAGCATCAGGGTGCTCTCAGTTTTGGGTCTCTCCAGGATTATGAGAAAGCGTGCACCCAGCTGCTAGCGCAGTTCAAGACACTGAAGACTCTCGGCCTTGGAATTTATTTTTCATGAATAGTTCATAATATTTCTGAGTTCAAGTTGGCGCACAAAAAAGGGCATACTTCCTAGTTGTCATGTGAGGACGTTCTGCTGAGTTCTGCTTGCCAGTTACTAGTACTTGACTTGCGGTTGTTGTCCCATACCATAACAAATCTTGTCCCTGCTGGACCTGGAAGGGCAATTTCTCACCAGCTCAAACAATTTGCATTTGCTTGGTGCATGTTTAGCATTGTTCAAAAATGATTCATCGAAGGTGAGCTGCGGTAGCCGAAATGTTTGTAATAAGAGGGGTTATAAAACAAGGAATGCGGAAAGAAGGAAAAAGAAGGACAGAAAGGCACGAAGGTGCGACTAGATGAACGGCCCGAAAGCTTTCAACCTCAGGAATGGACTGAAAGACAAGTGGTGAGCCCAGCATTCACTGGAGCCGGCACAGAACCCTCCGACCGGGAAGTTGTCCAAAGTTTCTTCAAAGGTTGCCAGATATTCGCGCCTTTGCGCAGGAGCATGGGTTTAGCCCTCAGTTTAGAGTGATGTTGTTTCTATGCTTTTTTTTGCGAGATTCTCGTACAGACACTCTGGTAGACTCGTTCGTGCAGTCTTCATCTCCTTCAAGGGAGCCTCAATTTTGGAGTTAAGCAACTTACTCTTCTTGTTTTGCATGTTTGTGCCTGCAATCAACAAGTTTCCATCAGGTTTCTGAAACAAACACAATTCCGTAAAATGAATCCACAGCAAGACCCCGCTGCATCCTTTTAAGTGTGTTTGCATATATTCAACCAACCTGTCTTTCAAAAGGACCAGCGCTTAAGTCGCTCTGGTCATACTGACTGCAAACAACCTCTCTGAAAGCTGATAAGTTGGCTTCAAACAGGTCAGACACAGGTTTCCCACAGAACACCAAACACATCCAACTCACGATGCGATCGGCTCTGCCCAGGCTCCACTGCCCCTTGGCGGAAGAGCGGCTCCTGGGCGCTGGCGTGGCAGCAACGGCTCCTTGGTGCCACAGCGATGATGATGTATTCAACACATATGATGATGATGATGATGATGATGA